GGGATTTGTAGAATGTTTCTCAATTTGAGTTTGTCTAGAGAGTGCCTTTATGATGCACAGTTTGTGAATGTGATACATACAGTGGTTAGCATGTCGTAGTTTCCAAGAACAAGGATTTTGGAATCAGGCCTCCTGAGTCTGATTCCCATCTTTACTGCCTACAAGCTATGTGACTCTGGGCTAGTTATCTAATTTCTCTGGGCCTCAATAAAAGGGCTCAGTAATAGTATCTACTGTTATTCATGAAAATTCATGAAGAGCCACTTGGAGCATGGCACAGAATAAGTTCTTTATAAGTAAGAGCTGCTATTGTTGTTGTAATTATAGTTCTCAAAATAAGAAATAGATTTATCTTTTGAGGAGCTCATGATCCAGTGTGGAAGACAGACATGGAAATGTAAAAATATCTTAGTGTCGTAAGATTAAAGTCTGGTGTTCTTGTTGCATATTGTTTTGATTTTCAGGCAGTCAGTTTGGGAGTTGAATTTAGCATTGATCAAGGTTTGGGGCCTAGAAGGATATTGGGCAAGAAATTTTTGGAATGCTGGAAATGCACAGGGAATTAGTTTAGAAGAAAAGATTTGTGTATCAAGGATACGTGGATGATACAGTTGGACGAAGCTTAGCTGAGCATGCTGTTTATAAGCAGGTGAAAGTTGGGATGCTGGAAATGTTTGGGGGATTAGTTCATAGCAAAATGTTTGGCGGATATGGGGATGATACAGTTGGGAGAAATCCATGAGTATGCTGTGCTGTCCATCTTTGGTTTTGGCCCTTTGGGGAGCACATTGAAAAGTATGATAAACTTTTTGTTCCATAGACTCTTGCTCACTTGTTCCAGATATCAAATAAATATAAGTAATGGGCCATGAACAGGTTATTAGATATTCGAAGGGGGAGTTGGAAGAGAAGATTAGGGATTATCTAAGAGGGAGAAATAAAGTAGTTGACCTAGTATCTAACCCAATCCCTACCTTGAGACAAAGGAAAGACTACATACTTTGTATTTTCTCCTTTGAGTTGGAACGCAAGAATTCCTGCCCCACTCTGAGGCATTCATGGAACTAATTAGAACCAGCTTTAAGAGACATACGAAAAGTCTTCACGAGCATTTGGGTAGATTTTGTTTATCAGTATGGTAATATGCTTTTCCTTCCATACCCAGTTTTTGACAAATTTTCAGAGTCTGCAAGTATACTCCAGTAGCTTTGTTTTCGGAATCAAATTGTAACTTTACTGGTCTATTTCCTTCTCATAGTTTTTTACAAAATGATTAAAGATTACCCCATGTGTTCTTGATTCCACTCTTCCAGTGCTATTTATTGAACAAGTTTGTCCTGTCCTAAGGACAGGACATTATAGTAATTACACAGTTGCCTGATGACTGATTTCCCTAATGATGGCTAGGAGAAATTCCTGAACTATAGCCTTTATGTTTCTGTAGGTTTTGTAATACTGTAACTGTTTATTTTAAAAATGGTATCACATCACCAGTAAATTTCTTTAGCTGTTCAAGGACTTACCAACCTCAGCACTATTGACATTTTGGGGTGGATTATTCTTTGTCGTGGGGGCTGTCGTGTGCATTCTAAGATGTTTAGATGCCTCCTTGGGCTGTGCCCACTGAATGCGAGTAGCGCTCCTCCCCCAGTTGTGACAACTAAAGTGTGTACAGGCATTGTCAAATGTTTGCTGGGGCACAAATTCACCCCTTCTTGAGAATCTCTGAACTAACCTATCATATACAGATGACTGCTGAGGAGATAGAAGTAGTGGGTACATGTACTGGCTTTGGAGTCAGGAAGACCTAAATTCATTTCCCAGCTCTAACCCCAACTAGCTATTTAACCATGTCAAAATACCATGTCTGTGGTCAAAGATCTGTCTGGATCTTAGCCTCTCAGCTACAAAGTGGAGCAGTGATAGTTCCTATCTGGTAGCATTATGTTTAAGATGAAAAGGGGAGATGTAGATGTTTATAAAAGGACCTAGACAGATGCTTGAGGTCCTCAGTAAATGTTAAGTCCCTACCCCACAACTTTCCCTTGATGCTAGTGATATTTCATTCATGTGTCTCTTCATTCATTCATTATTCATTTAATAAATATTTAAACTGAAAGCATGGACTCACTGAAATTGAGCAGGTGATACTGATGTAAACTGATGAGGAATAATACAGATTAATGTATGTGGCTATATTTAGAAACAATGTAGCATGAGGGCTCCGAGCCCTGGCTGTAGAGCTTATAGAACTGGATATAAGACTGATGAATACTACTTTTGGGAGATGGGGAAAATTAGCTTGATTTCTTTATTACTAAAATGGAAGTATTAATAGTATCTGCCTCAGAGGGGTTGTTGTGGTTATTAAAAGAGACACATGCCTGGTACATAGTAACACTCAGTACATAGAAGCTTCAAAGGCCCAGCGAGTGGGGGGTCAGTATAGTTCCAGAGGTCACCATTGAGGAGCTGGCCTTTAAAGATGTTGAGGATTTACCTAAGTAGAGAAGAGAATGGATATTCTGAGCAAGAGCACAGGTGAGAATGGAGAACTTGAGTATGTTTGGTACTCCATAAGCGGATGGGTTTTTGAAGCTGAGAGGCCATACAGGGAAGTGCTCTGTATTATTTAGGCAGAGAATATAAAGAAACTTGCAGAACCGGAAAGAATCTTGAAGTCTTAAATCTAAATTGTTCATTCCACCAATAAGAAAACAGAGGCCCAAGAAAGAGTAAGTGATTTCCTAGAAGGCACTGAGTCTTTGAAAGAGCTGGTTCTAGAGCTCAGAATCACCACATTGCCTCTTAGCCTCTCCTTGTCCTTAAAAAGTACAGGTAAAGACTATTAAACAGGATATGCAAATATTCTTTATTTTATAAATTAACTTGCCAAAAGCCATACTCTATATTTAGTAGCTGGAGTTGGCCCAAATACTGACAGCTAGCAATTCAACAAGTAAATATTTACTGATTGTCTACTCTGTATTCCAGACACTGGATATCATGATAAACAAGACAGACAAGGACCCTGCTCTCAAAGAGCTTCTATTGGAGAAAATAGTTGCAAATAAATTAATTCCTAAATCAAGAAAAAAAATAATGAAAAGTGCTTTTCAGAGAATTAAAATGGGTTGATATGATATAGAATGATTGGAAGGCACTTCGGATTGGGTGAGGGGCAAGGCCTCTCTAACGTTTAGAGCTTAGATCTGAATAACATAATCTTGAAGTTCAGGTGCAAAAACCTACCAGTTAGAGGCAGCAGCTAGTAGAGAGGCCCTCAGAGTGAAATGAGCTTGGCAATTTTCAAAGTAAGGAAAGAAGGCCAGTGAGGCTGGACTTTGGAGCAAGTGTGGAAGAAGAAGGGGCAAGAATGTTAGAGAAGTCAGCAGAGGTCAGATCATTTTGAGTTATGTAAGCCAACATAAAGAAAGTTTTGTGCAGGAGTAATCTGCTCTGCTTTATGTTTTAGGAAGATCCCTCTAGCTACTGGTTGAGGAATGGAGTACAGAGGGGCAAGGAGACCAGTTAAGAGGCTGTTTGCACTGGTCCAGTTGAGAGATGAGGGTGGCTTGGACTAAGGTAATGAAGATGGAGAGAGTTTGAGATATTTGAGATATATTTTGGATAAATAATAGATAGCTTTTGGTGATGCTTTGAATACGGGGGCTGGGGAAGACCAGAATAATCAAGGAGACTCCTAGAGTTTTAGCATAAGTAGCTAGATAAATAGTTAGGTACCATCTACAAAGATGGGGAAGGCCAGAGGAAGAGTAAGCTTGAGGGAGAAGTGAGGAGGAGTTCTATTTTGGCCATATCAAATTTAAGGTATCTATTATCTATTTAGTCAACAAATATTTATTATTAGCCACTGCTTTGGCCTCTGGGAATATCATATTAACAAAATAGACAAAACTCTGCCTTTTTGGAGTTTATATTCCACTGGATGTTTCAAAAAATAAATACAAGATCTATAGTGTGTAGATGGTGGTAAATGCTGAAGTAGGATTTGTAATAGTGTGGTTAAATCTGGCAAATTTTTGCTGTCAAGGGATGTGATAAGAGACTTGAGAAAGGTAAGGGAGTGAGCTCTGCAGATACCTGCTTGAAGAGCCCACTACACATCCAACTGGAAGTATCAAGTGGAGAGTTAGATGTATATAGGAGTCTGGATTCCAATTAGAAATTGGAGTTGAAGTTACAGGTTTGGAAGTCAGGCGTGTATGAAATGATATTTCAAATATAGGACCAGATGTCATCACCAAGGAAGAATATATAGGTGGAGAAGGGAGAGAATTCCTGTAGCAACCCCGTATTTGAGGGCTGAAGAGAAGACAGCAGGAGAAACTAAGAAGGAACAGCCATTAAAGTAGGAGGAAAAACAGGTATGCATGGTGTCGGAGAAACCAAAAGAGCCATTCAAGAAGAGAATGGTGACCTCTGTTGGATGTTGCTAAGAGTGCAGATAAGGTATGGACAGATGCACTAATTGGATTTGGTAATGTGGAGCTCATGGGTGACCTTGCCAGGAGTAATGTCGGTGGGCAGACAGGGACAGAAAGCCATGAGATTGGTTGAGGAGAGATCGGTGTCGGCATAAAGGGGAGAATTGTAAGGGTGAAGTCCTTGAGAAAGCCAGAGGGGTGGGAGGCAGATCACAAATGGAGAGAGCTTGGCATTTGAAACTGTAGCAGTAGTAGTAGTAGTAGTAGTAGTAGTAGTAGTAGTAGTAGTAGTAGTAGTAAAAACAGAGTTTGGATACAGATGTGGATAGGTTGGTAGATTTGATGGTGGGATAAGAAGGGAGTTGCTTTCTAATTGCTTCTACTTTTCTCAGTGAGGTAAGTTAATTAAGGGAATCTGGGGAGGGGAGTTTGGAGGGCAGACTTGAAAAGGGAGGAGATGATGTGTAAGAGCTGTTGAAGTAAATGCCTGACATATTTAACCTGCAAATGGTTCTTCTCAGGTAATGACCCAGTGTGATTTTTCTCTCTCAGCCAAGAGGTTAGAGTCCTACCAGGAAGCTGTCTCTGAAGATGAAGATTCCACAGACACTCCCAGCGACTCCCTCAGCAATATGGCAAAACCGAGGGCCCCCAGCTGCAGGACGGTTCATAATGGGCCCTTGGGAAGTAAATCCTCAAATCATCTTGCTGGGAACTGTTTAGCTCTGGGAAGTGGAGAAGGAGCCAGTGAAGTGCCTCACTCCAGACAGGCTGCTTTTAGTAGCCCCATTGTAAGTGTGAATGCGTGACTTGAATTTTGCATATCCGTCATGAATAATGAAAGAACATCCTCATAATTATGACAAAGCCGAACACAGTTGTCTTTTCTACCTGAGAAGAGACTACGTAATTGCAGTTTAGTGTAATTGCCATACATCATTAGAAATATAAGCAAACAATATCATGACTTCCTAATTTGTGGGATGATTCAGTGTTGAGAGATAGTATATCATTTCTGAAAAAGCATGGTATTTCTGATCAGGGCCAATCATGGCTGAGCCTGAAGAAGGCTGCCGGGGTTTAAGGACCAAGGCTCACTCTCAGAGCCAGCAAAGCTTAACGGGGTTATCTCTGACAGGGAAGGATGCCTGAATCACAGGCAAATTCAAGTACCCTCCAAGGCCTTTTTATCTTCCTGCATTCCTCCCCCACATCCCACCACACCTGTGTCCTCTTCTTCCCCTTTCCCAGTCCTCAGAATGACATTTTCTGGTATTTCCATTTTAAAGCTCAGCTGGGTGTTGCTTGATTCCCAGAGGGAAGTTTTGGAAACTGTTTAGTTATACCCACTGACGAACCCATTTTGCTGCAGGAAACTATAGAGGGCCATGCGGAAGATAGGAAAGAGGAACGATACTTCCATGGAAGAGTTAGAGGTCACAAGTTCTGTCGTACTTAAAATTGCTTCTGTAAAAATCCAGCTGCCTTTTCTGCCTTCCACAATTCATTAATACTTGCGTTTTACCAAGATGAGGATTCCCCAGTCATGAGACCAGTAACTGGTTGATGTCTAAAATAGGTGGCCTAACAAGAACGAATCCACTGTGGGGAATCTTTTGTGTTTCTGCATTGAATTTATTGTATGGTTTTCATAGTAGAGATGTGATCTGAGTAGACCGCAGTGGTCTCACTTGTCCCGGAAAGTCCTTAAGGGGACTCTCCTGGTTCTTTTCAAAGTTACCAATGACAACTGCAGCAACGAGGGCGATCATTTCAGTGCAACTCATTTAGTTAATTTCTGTGGCATTAAAGATACAAAACCTGTCATATTGTGTCTTTGCCATAGGTCAGACTGTTCCAAACATCTAGACTTGCTTCAGCAGCACATATATCAAACATCTAGACTTAATTTTTCTCCAACTTCTAAAAGACAAATAGGGAAAGAATGCATACACCTCTTCTGTGCACTCTCTTTAAGGCTCTATCAGAAAAAGGGGCGCCTGGCTGGCTCAGTTGGTAGAGCGCGTGACTCTTGATCTCGTTGGGGGTTGTGGGTTCGAGCCCCATGTTGGGCGTAGAGATTACTCGAAAATAAAATCTTTTAAAAAAGGCTATATCAGAAATAGATATCTATTTTCTTCTCTTTTTACCTATTCCTCTACTGATCTTTTACATTTTTCACCCACGGGAAGTTGCCACCTGTTGACTCATGCTTACTTGGAAGTAGTAGGGCATTGGCAACCCAGTGGGGCTATGCCACACCCACCCTTCAGTTTCCTGATTTAGTCTCATTGTCTTCTTAGAAAAAAATGATATTTCTGTTCCTTTATCTGTACCATTTCCTCCATCTAAAATTTATTCTCCCTACTGGCAACCTACCTCTGTCTACCAAACCTGATGAAATACTTATTTCTTATAAAACTACTTTAAATATTCTTCCTCCTTTTTTTTTTTTTTATTATACATGGTTTTTTTTTTTGAGATAGAAAGAGCCTGCATGCAAGCGGTGGGAGGGGTCGGGGGGTGGAGAGCAAGAGGGAAAGAATCCTAAGCAGACTCTGCAGAGCCTGACTCGGGGCTTGATGTCACAACCCTGAGATCACGACCTGAGCTGAAACCAAGATCAGTTGCTTAACTGACTAAGCCACCCAGGCGCCCCTAGATATTCTTCCTTCTGAAGACTTCTCAGACTCTTCTCAGTTTCTGAGCTCTGTCTACACATTCCCTCCCTTCCTTGGCTCCCATTACACAGGCCTTATTTCTCTCTCTGACATACACCGTTAACTCCTTGAGAGCAAGAACTTATATCTTGACTACTCAACATCTAGCTCAGTGACTTGTGTGTCCATTCTCGAGAAGTAGGTTTTTGTTTTTGTTTTTAAGATTTTATTTATTCATTAGAGAGAGAGAGAGCACAAGCAGGGGGAGAGGCAGAGGGAGAGGGAGCAGCAGACTCCCCACTGAGCAGGGAACCCGATGAGGGGCCCGATCCCAGGGTCCTGGGACCTGAGCTGAAAGCAGATGCTTCACTGAGCCACCCAGGTGCCCCTCGAGAAGTAGTTTTGAGGGTTGTTCAATGAAGCTGCTTACCAGGCTCAGTCTCCCCACTCAGTCCATTTTGTTTTTACTTGCCCTATACTTCAAGGCCATGTGTCAGTCTGATTGCATAGACACACTGGGGTTGTTGTTTGGTTTTGGATTTTCAGAACCACACCATTATATATAGGATAAAGAGGTAGGTGTTCCTTGAAATATGAGATCATCTCACTCTTGCTCTAGACAAGTTGAATTTACCCTTTTTGGAGACTTACGATTATTTTGAGAAAGCTTTAGATTCTTTGTCCTGAAAAATTAGCATCTGTAAAAATTTTGCGTACAATTGCAGAAGCCTGTCCATGGAGCCCAGGTTAAGAATACCAGCTTAAGAGTACACTGAGAGCCGTGATGTATAGAAATGGAAGATTGCAAGATGGCACCTTGGATGGGGAGGCAAGCTGAGAGCCAGGGAGTAAGGATCCTTGGCAGGCTGCTGGCAAAAATATGCCAACCTTTGGTAATTAAATGTCATTGAGGCCCCTGAGTCCTGGGTTCATTTTACCCATTTGAAATAGAAACCTTTTCTTTGTAAGCCAGTGTTTTTGTGCTTCTTTCATCCTCTCTCTGCTTTCATTCAATGAGAGTACTGTTCATTCTACCTGGGTGACTATTCTCTGAGATCTCTATATGGTTCTCCTTTCTGTCATTGAGGTCTTAGCTTAGATGTCACCTCCTCAGTAAACCTTCCTTACCACCTAATCCCAAGTTCTTTCCACCCTCATCCCCACCCTGTCTCTCTCTGTCTCAGTCTAGAAGCATCTTATTTGTTCACAGGTTAGTGTTTGGATCTGATGTCTCCTCTCATTAGAATGTGAGCTCCATGCAAGCCAGGATCCTATCTGTCCTATGCACCCCTCTTTCCTTGAGGAGTGCCTGACACCACAGATCAACAAAAAATATTGATGGGATGAATGAATGAATGGCTTAGTGAAAAACGGCAAAATACTAGACACTGGGATATAAAATGAATATGACATGTCCCTGTCCTTCAGTTTTGTTCTAGGTAGAGGAGACAGACATATAAATACATACATATAATCCTATGTTATAGATGCAGTAATAGTGGGTTAATCCAGAGTAGAGTAAGGGCACAAAGAAGGGAGTGATGAACTCTCAAGGGGTGAGGAGAAAAGAGGTAAAACTTGAGTTAGGATTAAACTAATGAGTAGGGGTTTGCAGAGCAGAAAAGGAAGAGCATGTGGGGCAGACAATGTATGGCACAGGCAAGGGCTCAGAAACAAGGGGCTGTGGGTGAACGTGCTGTGGGGGAGGAAGGTCCGTGTGTGGTCGTGGTGCTCGTCTTTTTCCTTCAGGTCTGTGGTGGTCAGGAATCTGAGGGAGCCAGAAGAACGCTTGTGTGCGTCCATACTTCAGCCGAAGTTGCCGAGGTGGGCCAGTGAGCCCCTAAAACTGGACTAGGATGGCAGTGGGAAATTAAATAAGAGCCGTGGCTACTGGTGGAACTGGGGGAGGAATGGGGAGCCGTTTTAAGGCCACCCTAAAGCTTCAACCAGCACTATTAGAGGGCAAAGAGGGGTCTTGGCCAGCGTTTGCTTGTTGAATTTGGATACAAATAGAGGGAGAAAAAAGAGAAAGCAACCTGAACGTGAAACCTGCAACCTGGTAGGAAGGCATAATATGAATCCTGAAAATCTAAAATTTTAAAATAGATGTTACATAGGATTCAGACAAAGATGCTGGAGTCCCACCATGAAACCAGATAAGGCTTTGTTTAATTGTAGGAAGCTATCCACATTGTGCTTTATATTCTTTAATTAGGAGGATGACTTTTCTCTTCATTAAAAAAAAAATGTCTCTTTGAGGCCAAGTGGGAGGGGTTTATGTATGTTTTCTGAAGAGTGACATCTTTTTATTCTGTTTCTCCAGCGCCTACTTGTACAATATAAAATCAGCAAGTGTTTGGTAGTCGTGTACAATAAATTTTTATTCTTCTCCATGTGCTAGGTATTGTGTTAGGGATCCAAAGATCAATATAAGATGGTCCTTCCTTTAAAGGAACTTACAACTCTATGAAGGACACGCTCGTGGAATCATTTAGAGCCGGGTGGTACGGGCCTGGCTCCGGGTGAGAGGAGTTCCAAGAAGGCAGAAGCTGTCCGTCACAGAAAAAAGAGCAAAAACCAATTTTGTAAGACAGGGTCTCAGTGAGGAAGATTTGGGTCTTAGGAAAGGTCCCTGTAGATGCAGTCATAGAGATCAGAATTGCATGTGATAACTCTGTACCTTCTCTTCAGTTCAGCAACTAAATATCTTAGTTACTAGGGATTAACTTATTTGGAGAGACCAATTTCAGGGAAAGAATGCTCCACGCCTGCAGCTGCAGTGTGATAGGGATCTTTCCTCAAATCTCAGGGGCTCTTCTTTCATATATTGTGTTACAGTTGTCTTGTGTGGTCCTGAGTTTCTGGATTTTTCTCCCAATTAAGAGGACTTTCTGTAAACACAGTTTTGCTGACCAGAGCCCCAGCTTTGGTGGGCTCTAGTATCTCTTCTCTTCTCATGCTCATGGCCCAGGTTCTCGGTTCATGCAGTCAGCACATGCCCTGACTGGCGTGTGAGACTGACTTTATGTCAATAGTGTTTACCACAAAGGTGGAAGGTAGAAGCCTTTCATTGGTCTTAGATTGATTTTGGGATGCAGTAGAATCCTTACGTCCTGAAGCCAGTTACTAGTGCAGAGATCGTTGATACAGTGAAATCACTAAACGTTTATAAGGTCTCTAACGCAATCCCAAATGTGTTCCAGAGAACAGACGTCTCTAAAAAATTTAATTTGGGAAGGCTGCACATACCTTTTCTTGAAGAGTCCCAATACCCATCAAAGTCTCTGAGAAGAGCTGCAATAAAGAAACCTGTTTAATTGAAACATTTCTTAGAGTTCCATTCTGAAATAAGTTGGGTTTTTGTTTTGTTTTGTTTGGCTTACTGTATATTAGCGTTCTGAGACAGATGTCTCCGGAAACATTTTCCAACCCAGGGAATCTCGCAAGCCCTAGATGACACTATAATCAGAGACCTTGATAAATACCATGTAACGAGTTTCCCAAGCATCCCTTGGCTGACTAAGCACTGAGTAAGAAAGAAGTCTCTCAGACTTGACCACGCTCTTCTGTTCCCTCTGGCAAGGAGGTCGTTGAGGAAAGGATTATTCTCTGAAGAACTGAGGGCGCAGGGTTACTGTGTACGTGAGATTCATGAGGAAATGTGGCCGACTCATTAGAGAACAGCCATCAGGTTATTGATGCCTATGAACTCCACCAAACTGCAATAAAATTCAAATTTTGCTAAGTCAAATATCACAGGACAATAGGTATTGATGTATTTAGGTAGAAATTTAAGAATGCTTTGGACAAGGGACACCTGGGTGGCTCAGTCGGTTAAGCGTCTGCCTTCGACTCAGGTCATGATCTCAGGGTCCCGGGATCGAGCCCCGCATTGGGCTTCCTGCTCAGCATGGAGCCTGCTTCTCCTTCTCCCTCCACCCTCCCCCCACTCATGCGCACTCTCTGTCTCTCTCTCTCTCTCAAATAAATAAAATCTTAAAAAAAAAAGAATGTGACAGCAGATAGTTTGTACCCATCGTGAGTCTGGTAACCTGCCTGGAGGTTCCTGTTGTGGGTATCTCCTCATTATCTCATCGCTTTATACACCCGCCTTGTGATATAGGTGTTATTTTTATTATTGCTCCGAAGAGGAAAATGAAGCTCGGTGGGTTAAGCAAGCTGCCTGAGGCCACCAGCTAGTGTGCAGTGGGTCTAGGACCTGAACCCAAGCCCACGTGATTTTCAGCCCATGCTCTTATTAAGCCTATGGCTAGTTCTCACCAAACTCCTACGCATAAAATACAAGCCATGGTCTTTTGAGTCTAGTATCACACGTCTCACATCTCCATATTTTACTCCTGCCTCTAAATTACCTCTCCTGGCTTTCCTGCAGTCAGTATGCTTTGCCAACCAACTACATCCACATCTCCTCTAGAATACAGTGACGCTTTTGTGAAAATCTGATTTGTAGCAGATGGTCCCTCTTTTGATTGATCTGAAAAATTTCTAAAGCATTGTCTACATGTTACTGGATTATAAACAGATTTCTACTACAACATTCTTTTGTTAAACCAGTACTCCTCAGTAGGCGTGAGAAGCACTGTGTTAAACAAAATGGATTTTTTTTTTTTAAAAGATTTTATTTATTTATTTGAGAGAGAGAGAATGAGAGACAGAGAGCATGAGAGGGAGGAAGGTCAGAGGGAGAAGCAGACTCCCTGCTGAGCAGGGAGCCCGATGCGGGACTCGATCCCGGGACTCCAGGATCATGACCTGAGCCGAAGGCAGTCGCTTAAGCAACTGAGCCACCCAGGCGCCGGATTTTTTTTTTCAATAGCAGAACTTCTGAGAGCTAATTTGTACTTAGGATCTTTAAGAGGAGGGCACAGGATACAGTTGCCAAATATATTTGATGATCAGAAATCTCTTGGAGGAACCCTCATTAATGTCTTGTAGTATATTATTAGGTAATGATCTTTAAATGTGTTCACCTGCTCATACTAATGTTTATTTCAGAGAGGTTCTTTTGTTTGTTTCTGCTTTTGTTTTTATAATAGTAGTGATTTGAACCATAAGATATTTTGTTAAAATAACATGGTATGAATAATGTCCTGACTTAGAGAGTTGGTACTCCTCAGTTGTTGGATGAATCATCACTTGCTGTTAGATGCTCTGGCAACTGTGTATTTCAAAATAAGAAAACCCATCAACTAGATTTTGGTGGAAGGCATTGTTCCTTTCTCTTGCAGAGTTTAATAATCAAGATACTTTCCATCAGTATTATGCATTCTGGATTTTTCCCTTATTTTTTTTGGTCTGTTTTCCTATTCTCACTTCCCTTGGCACCATATATATTAAGTCTTTTTTAGAAGAATAACGTTTACTATCTCCTGGTTCATAGATTCTGCTTATAAAAGCTACTTCTCATGTCAATTTAAAGCTCTCATTGTAAGATACTTATTGTAATAACACTTTGTCTTATTGGGTTTTCAGGAAACAGATGTGGTGCCAGACACCAGGCTTTTGGACAAGTTTAGTCAGATTACACCTCAGCTTTTTACCGCACTAGATGAGACTACCCCAGATCCACCACTGGAGACCTTGTACATCATAGACTTCTTTATTGCATTGGCAATTTGCAACACAGTAGTGGTTTCTGCTCCTAACCAACCACGACAAAAGGTAAGGTCTCTAATGCAAACAAGGATTATTTTCCACAAGAGAACTTTGGGTTTAAATGTACTTATACTGGCCTTGTTATGTAGATAATACTACTAAATGATAATAACAGTAGCATATATCACTAATCTAACATATATCACTTAATCTGTGCTCTGCACATACGATATTCTAAGTGATTTACTGATATTAACATGTTATCTTCCCAGCAACCCCAGAAGTTAGGCAATATTACTCCACTATTCCCCATTTTATAATTGAGGTTAAGTAACTTTCCTGGGGTCACAGGGCCAATTTGTGGGGTAAGTGAGATTTGAACCCATGAAGTATGGCTCAGTGCTGTTCTACTGTTTTGCCTCTAGGAGGATAGCTGATGAGAACAGCTCTAGTAGAATGTGGCTGTGTTCATTTTGCCTAGTTTTCCTTCCCAAATTGAAGCTTCTGAGACTTCCCGCATCATATGCATTATGTCAAGCAAAATGTAAAGTATTGGGTTCATTATCATGTCTAATGACAATGTACCATTTTCATGTACCAGTTGGGGTAGTTCTAACTCAATTTAAAATCCAATACATTTATAAGGTACCAGGATGCTGCAGTTCCCACAAAAGCTAGATTTAAAAAGTCTATTTGTAGTTTAGAATTTATGGGAAAATTCATTTTCAATTACAAAGAAAAACTTGTTTTAGAGACCGGTGATTGACCACATGCTGTGCTGGCCTCCTTGTGTATAATAACTTTCTCCCCTTTTGCACGTATCCACTTAAAATTCAGTTTGTGGCACAACCCAATTAAATTTTAATTTTCCATCAGATCATTTTCTTTTGGCAACTTCAGAGGTGGTCAACTTTAACATAAAAATAACTTATTTCCAATTAAGCTTTTATTTGATCAGAAAACTGTGTTTTTATAAGACTTTCAGCTAGAGAGTTGCTCTTTGGAATGTGATCATGTAATTAGAGAATAAATCACTGGATGTTCTTTTTTCTCCTCATGTAACAATTTTTCTCATAATCTGTTTCCAAAGTAGGCACTTCTTAGTGTTTTTTGTTTGAAAAATATTGTTGCCTTATCCCCAAAGACTATAATACCCTGTGGTCTGAAAGAAGGTCTCTGCTGGTATAAGAACCTAAAAGTTTGGTGATATTTTGAGGTAATGACAGAGACTGAATAATAAGGAGTTAATCAGAACCTACAGAGTATGAAACCTCATCTGTGATTGTTTCTCTTCATTTCTGAGTTCTGATACGTGTGAAAATTGACCAACATGTGTTTCTCCAACTGTCAGAAGATTAATCATTTTTAGGAAAAAACTTTTTAATATCTTGGGTATTTCTGAATGAGAAAATTTTAGGATCTAATTAATTGGCCTTCATAATATTAAATTCTACATTTAATCACTGTTAAAATTAAGAGCTAGCAAAAAAATCAGGCTAAAAATTACAAAAAATTCTGCAATAGAAATTCACGTTCATTGTGAATGTGATATCACCTGATAAGCTGATAATTTCTGCTGATAACTCTTCTGTAAGTGACTTTGTTTACCGGCCTTTTTAAAACAACAGAAAAGTCGTCACAACCTTTTATAGAATCTTGAAAATAAAAGAGGAGAAAAGCCCATTTTAATCTTTTGACTTACTTTCTTCCAGGGTTTTAAAATGTGTATTATTACTCATTTGTTTCTTATATTGCCTCACACAATTTTTAAAATTTTTAAATTGTTTACACAATTTTTATATTTTTATAGCTTTTCCAATTTCACCCCATAGATTTTGTACATTTTATTTTTAAAATATTGTATAACATTTCAAGAAGATATTTCTATTTTGCTATATTTGAATACTTATTTTGCTTACAATTTTTAAATTGCTATTGCTAGAATGTACATACTAAAGATTATGGATTATCTATATTTTAAGTTATTCATTAGGAAACACTGCTGTAATATGCCCACTACTAGCAATATTAGCATTTTATATCTTTTGCTATCATTTGTCAGATCTCTTTCTGAATGGCTGTAGAAATTTACAGTGCCATCAACATTAGCACATATTTTTCATTATGGTCATTTTTATTTTTGCTAATATTTTCGGGGGGGCAGTTTTAAGTATGAAGCGGGCTGCTAGCTATTTAAGGAGTGGTAACTCTCTTTTCTTATCTAAGTTTTTCCTCGTTTGACTTCAACTTTGTTGTCAACCGCTTTTGGCTGCATTATTGAGACCCTCCCAAATCATCTCTCCTAGATTGGACTCTCATCACTGAGTGGAATGCCTATAAAGTCCTTGGAAGAGATTAAAAACCTCTTCCAGAGATGGTCTGTCCGAAGATCAAGTTCGCCATCTCTCGCCAGTGGGAAAGAGCCCCCTCCTGGGGTCCCAAATGCCTTTGTGAGCAGACTCTCCCTCTTCAGTCGAATGAGACTGGCTTCGCCTGTGGAGGAAGAGGCCTCCCACACAAGCGAGAGCCTCCAGGGCTCTAGTAACTCTGCTTGCCCTACAGAAACTGGGCAACAGAACAGGGATCCGGGCCTCCCAGAGGGCGAGGTAACACCCTCCCCCGGGCAGCCGTCGGCCTCCACCCTGTGTTACGAGGCCGAGAGCCCCGATGAAGCGGCCTTGGTGTATGCCGCCAGGGCCTACCAATGCACTTTACGGTCCCGGACACCAGAGCAGGTCGTGGTGGACTTCGGTGCTCTGGGGCCATTGACGTTTCAGCTCCTGCACATCCTGCCCTTCGACTCCGTAAGAAAAAGAATGTCTGTTGTCGTTCGGCACCCCCTTTCCAACCAAGTCGTGGTGTATACGAAGGGTGCTGATTCGGCCATCATGGAGTTGCTCTCAGCGGCTTCCCCAGGTGAGTTCATACTGGCGGGGGAGGGGGGTGTATATGCAGGGCTCAGAAATTCAAAGGCCACTCTCGATGGGCTTTATAAAGAGAAACACGTGGATGTTTGGGGATCAGCTGCACTTGGTAAAGTGGGGGAAGCTGCCTAGGATTTGGTGAGAAAGCATGTAAGTTTTGGCGCTCCACAGACCTGGGTGCAGATCTGGCCTCTGCCATTTGCGGTGTCTTGGCAAAGTTACCTACGCATTCTGTGTTCAACAAATGGGGAGTGTCGCACCCTTTTTCTAGGTTCCTCGGAGCTTTAATGGCGTACTGTATGCAGTATACATAGAGCCTTTGCCCAAATGGCGAGTGTTCAGTGAGTGGCAGCTAGCATATTACAGTTCTTGTTACTGTTGTTACTGACGGTGTGGGGATGGTGTTCATAATTAAGTTCTTGGTACTTTTCCTCTCCCCAGGAAGAAAGAAACAAGGGAAAGATTTATTCACAGGGTCCCTTTTATAAATGTACATTTGGGATTCAGAACTACAAGGTCTTTTGTTTGTTGTGGGATAAACTGTATCATTGTTTGCAAAAACATGTCTGTAATTGGGCAGACTGGTGGGAATACTTGTTTTGTTAATTATTTCAGATGGAGCAAGTCTGGAGAAACAGCAGATGATAATAAGGGAGAAAACCCAGAAACACTTGGATGACTATGCCAGACGGGGCCTACGCACTTTATGTATAGCGAAGAAGGTGAGGCTGCTTAGTTAGGCCCATCGTCTTCATTCTTTCGCTTGTGTAGCCCTCACTTCTTGGGGTCGAGCATGTATCAAACCCTAATCTGCACAGTTGGGAAAGCTCTTGGATTGTGGGCTCTCTACTCACAGCGTCGGTCTTCCATATATATTGATTGGTTGGAGTTTGTTCTCAGTGTTTTGCCAGAAGAATATCTAAAAGTTGTTCTCCGAGTTCTCACCTGTTTCAGTGTATTGTGAGTGCTTTTGAATGTTAACTGCAGTTTGGCTGGAAATAAAAATCCCTGGACCTACTTTCTTTTCCCTCAGTACTTCGTAAATATCATTCCTGCATTAAATGTTCTTTGGAAAGAATGAGGCCAGAGACTGACCTTAATTTTCCCCTAAAGTTCTAAGTATTTTTTCCTTACATGCCTATAAGTCTTTTCTATAAATCCAATTTTACTAAATGTTATGTCAGTATTGATTATTCCCTTGTTGATAATAATCCTGAGATGTAGTGTATTCTTTCTAAAAAATTTAAGTAATAAGAAAGAAGACAGAGCTCTAAGAAATTGAGGGGTGATATTACCAGAACCTTCCCTGGGGACATGGGAGAAACAGACATGGAGCACTTTAAAGTGAATTGGTCAAGTTTTTATGCCAGCAGGATGTGGTTTGGGTATTGACCAAGTCATGCGTCTCAGCCCCAATGAGGCTATGCAAGCCTTCCTTCATTGATAAGCCAAGACTTCCCCAGTGCTATCCCTGTAATCATGGCTCAACCACATAGCCAACTGAATACCTGGATAGTGCTTTTTCCTTCAGTGAAAGCTCAACTGCCTGTTTTATTTCAGAGTAGATGAGGGGACAGCAGAAAGGGTGGGGGTCTGCTTAGAGTCTAGTATATAGTATAGAGAGTCTAGTAGGGGTTGAGACAAGAGAAGGATGTCTTATGGAGAGAGAAGAGAGTTAGTTGTAAAGGTATAACAGAGACTTTGATGAACACTGAAGAACA